CTGACACTTGCCCCCTACCCAGTTGTCTCCTCCCACTTCCTACTACTTGGCCCCCTGCCACCACTTACCCTATATAGTGGCTCTCACTCCAGCTCTGGCCCAGCCAGACAATGTGGTATTCTCAAAAGACCAGAGTTAAACTTATGAAATGATAAAGCTTGTTTATTCAGAAAGCCTTCTTAGCCTACTGATCTGCTGTTCCCTCTTGCAATCCCTGGGCCAATGTAAACACTTATACATAACACTCTTAAAGATATCCACACAGGTAACAGCAGTGGCAGCACTTCCAGCCCTGGAAGAGCTGGAGCCGCAGTAGCTCTCTGGCTGCTGTTAGATCTCCCTTGGTAATGCCTTGCCAGGCTGGGATGGCTTGTGCAGCAGTGGAGAGGATGCACAGGGAAGACTGGGCAGTGTGGGGGAAAAGGGGAGTGCAGGGAAGACCACGTGGTGGGAGTCTCCCAGGCACCTCTCCCCTCACTACACAGTCTCCCCTGTGCTTTCCCCCACACTGCACAGTCTTGTCTATACTTTCCCCGCCCCCCCCCCAAACATTGCACAGTGTCCGCTGCTCTCCACCCTACCCCAGACAGTCTCCTCCACACTCCCTCCGCCATGTACCACCCCTCCCACCATACAAGCCACCTCAACCTGACAAGGCAGGAGCAGCAGTAATATCTGCGGCTTGGAGGCTGAGTAGCCACAGCTACCCGCTCCAGTACTTAAATGGAGGATATTGCTTCCCTCCCCTCCATGTTGAATAGGGAAAAAACCTTGTCTTGGATTGGGATAAATATTGTAATTTACTGTAACTGAAGATCATGGGAAAGAGCTAGAAGGGACCTCACACGGTCTTCTTGTCCAGCCCCCTCGTCAAGGCAATATCATCCCTGACTAAACCATCCCAGCCAAGTATCTGTCCAACCTGCTGTTGAAAAATGTCCAGATGGAGATTCCACAACTTCTCTAGTAACCTGTTCCAATGCTTGACCACCCTCATAGTCAGAAATTTCCTCTTAATCTCCAGCCTAAATTTCCCCTGCTGAAGCTTGAGGCCATTGTTCTTGGTCTTGTCTGCTACAGCCACAAAGGAAGGCCTATCTCTATCTTCTCTGTACTCATTCCTTAGGTATTTGAAGACGGTTATCAAATGCCCTCTCAGTCTCCTCTTCCCTAGGCTAACTTTCATAACCTAAATTACATGCTTAGCAAGCCTGTTTTTCCTCCTTCTGAAGTCAAAGGTGAATTAAATGGAAGAAGTATCCGTTTATTAAGTGCCTAGTCTAGCAAGGTGCTGAATACTGCCATTGGTTTCAGTGGAACTGAGTCCTACTGTTGAAGCACCTGCTTCCAGGTTACCTACCTGCAACGTGTTTCGGGTAATGGCAGGGTGTGGGAGGATTTTTTAGGTAAGTTACAAATCACTGAAAGTAAATATAGGATGATTGTGCCTTGTAGTTTAAGCTAGTGTAACTCTAGCTGCTAAAAACAAAACTAAGAAACCAAAACCTTTTTCAAATTAACTGCCTTTAAACTGTCTGCCAGGAAGTGGTTCACACAGTGCTTCATTGTTCCTGCATTTTCCACTGCTAACTGATTGCACTTCTGTAAATATGAATTTCGTTCTGTTCAGCTAGTCTTGTCACTAGTCTAATCTGATTACTTATCTTGTCATCATCACTGTGAAATCTGGAAACCTTTAAAAGGAGCATGGAACATTGTAAATGTTAAAATACTGGAAATATTGCTTATGAATCAAGGAGGGGCTTGGTCAAATTCTGCTCATGGTCACCATCCTTCAGTAAGTACTCTGCGGGCCCAGTGCTTCACCTGCACAGCATTCATTGCAGAACCAGAGCCCCGGTAACCCTGATATGAAACCAAAGCAACCAAATCACTGAGGTTATTCTGGAATTCCACTATGGTAAGAAAGAGCAGATTTTCATATTGTCTAGTGAAATAAGTAGTTACTTGGAATTTAGGCCAGCGTAAATGAGAACTATCTGTCTCAGCAAATAAATTTGTCTACTTCAACTTTATTATTTTAATACCAACAGTGAAACAAACTGTTGGTATGATCATGACAGGGAAATGGTGAACTGCCTTTCTAGGGAATTAAGTCTGTGATTTTATCTTTAAACTTGCCTTTAATGAAGAGATTATTGAGCAGGTTTAGCATTCTGTTTGAGCCTGCAAGCTGGATTGCCAACCTATGATTCAAACCCTAACAATGGACTAGGAGACTGTACATAGAAAACTTCTGGGGACGGTGACCACTATTTGCAGAGCCCTCTTGTGGGCTCATTAAGAATTGGTAATGGTCCCACCTGCAGAGACTGCCTGTTTTGTCAGCAAGAGGTAGGAAATCCCAACAGCACTAATACTTGAAAGTGGAATGTGGATAGAAGATAAAAACATTCCTTAACGGAGGAGACCACAGAATACAAGTTATTCCTAGATTTGTTTGCTATACAATAAATAGTGTAAACACCGATTACAAGGGGAAGACTGTAAAATCTATTTACAAAACAAAATGGGAATTTTTTTTAGCCTGAAACAAAACACTGTGCAACTTCAATAAGAGGTACTATTTCTTGCAAAGTCACATACAACCTTTTATAGGATTTTTTAAAAAAAAATTCTCCAAAATACATACTACCTCAGCTCCCCATGTACAAAATCAGTTTAAAAGATAAGTGAAAGTATGCTTTTCAGATAAATACCTACCTATTAATGATGTATATTCAGTTCATATTGATTTGCATTTACTGTGGTGAAAAAGTGAACAGCTACTCTTACGCCTGATTTTAGCACTTGTTTTAGCTTTTTTTCTAGGTGTGTTTTAAAAGAAAATCTTAATATTTTTCTGAGAGAGAGAGTCCCCACTTGGTTTTATTTTGCTGTTTTTTGTCTGTTGGTATTTTAGTGTCTACATCCTTTAATGATACAAGTACCACTTCCGCTGACGTTATTGTGAGTACAAGCAGGATTAAGAGTAGTTGTTCTTCTGTAGCATGTTTGCATAACCCCTGCTAATGCTAACAGGCTCTGCCTCCTTATTGAAACCCCTCTGACACTGGATTAATTCTTAATTGATGAATTCTGAGATATGCAGCCAAACTGATGAATACAGCTATATACTTATTTATGTTAAAATACATCTTTACTGTTATGAATGTATAGGACATGTCACACATTTGGGATCCCACGCTTCTTAGTCACTCTTTCTCCTTTTCTTATAAATCATAGTTTTTGTAGATGAATGTTAAAGCCACTACCTGTAATATAAACAGACTCCTTGTCTTTGGGTATTTTTTTTGTTTTGTAACTGTTAGTGACTGTATTATTTATTTCAATAAATCTAATCTTCAGGTATATCCTTCAGTCTGCCTGTCATGCGTCACATATTTTAAACAACGAAACCTGTTAGACAGAAATTTTTTAATTCAGACATAAACCGAGAGCTAAATATGCATATAACCTAAGTAGTGACTAGGATAGAGAGATGAAGAAACATTAATCAACAAATATATCAAAGGTTTCATCACCAAAATAGAGAAGTATTTTGAAAAGCACATGGGAGTATAATCAGGGAGCTAATAATGCCTGAATCCATCCCAGGTAGAAGGGGACTTGTGCTGGGCTAGAGATAGTATATATTTATGATCTTTCAGAACTTATTTCAAGGAATATTCTGTAGAGATGATTATATAGATTAGAGAGCAGACATCCTCAAGCATTTTTCATAG